TTTCAGGACTTTCCCTTCCTTGGTTATTTCTCCCTTTTTCGAATGCAGTAGATGCTGTGTCTATTTTTAATTGATCTTTTTCAAATTTGTGTTACACACTGGAATCATGAAGGGACGAAACCTATCAATATTCAGCATTCCACAACATCCATTCCAGTGTTGGCCGAGAAAGTTCTTCAGGATTTTCAGACTTGGTTTCCCCCACCCCCCTTATCAGTGGTGCAGGACAGAGGACCCGACAAGGACAGCTGTCTAGTCGTTTGGATAGTACGAATGACCGAGGTCCTGTGCACACGTAAAAGATCCCCAGGCAGTTTGAATATGATATAAGTGTAGGCCTTAGCGCCGCTGTCTGGATAAAATTCCCTGATAGCACACTGTATAGCATATGTTCATGTCATTAACCCCGTCGGAATATTACATCAAACCCCATTTCATTTCACTCATTCCAAAGTTAACTCCTATATCCATCAATAACTTGAGCAAACGAGATAGAGGCTATAGGTTTTGGCCAAATTTGGTCAATATCCCAGTTTTCCTTTCCGATATGCATATCAACATTTTCATAGCGCTAATGTAGAACATTTTCCCTTGTCAGTGATGCCGGACTGAGGACCTGACATGGTTGGCTGACTAGTCATATGGATGGGACAAAAAAAACCAAGGTACTGTGTACACTCTGGTGTGTGTGTGTGAAAGATCCCTTGGCAGTTGCAATTTTATATAAAAGTATGCCGTAGATCTGTTGTCCAGACAAATTTCCCTCATAGGACACTGTGCTGCATAGGCCCGTCTTCATTTCTCAAACAGCTGTGGATATACATGTAAACTGTTAATATTTAAATGTGTATTTTGTATTTTATAACATTATATTTTTGTCTTTTAAATAAAGTATATGTATACATACTTATAGTATATTTTGTTATACAATTCTGTAAGTTGTGCTAGATTTTTAACTTTTCTGTGCAATACATTTAGAATTCTGACTGGTTATGGGTAGATAGAGAGAAATGGGAGGTAACATCCAATTGACATAAACTGGCCTTTGGGACTAAGTGATTCAATTCAAGTTGAATAATTCACTCGCACCAGGAGAACCCAGAAAAAACCCATGTTCAAGTTGGTTGTGGAAACTAAACAACTTGACTCAATGACAGACCTTATGATCTAAAGCGCACACGTTGGACCACTCAACTTCTAGCCCCTCCCACGAGTAAGAACATTTGATTATTGGTTGACTGTATTTCCCATTTACTGCCGCAAATAATGAATAATTTTGAAGATTTTAATGGTTGATTATATTTTCGTAACTTTGCGCATCAAAATTTGACATTAGAATTGCATCCGAAAATGATGGTTATTTAATGTTAGATTTACGTTACAATGGTCGGTTAGATTTCCATCATTTTGCTCATCCTTTTAACGACAATTTAACGTCAGGAAATGACGTTAATCTAGGGTAAAGTTTACGTCATTTTTACGTTATATTTACGTTATTTTCTGGCGTAAATCTAACCTAAAGTTTACTTCATTTTCTAACGAAAGTGACGTAAACTTTACGCAAAATTTACGTTAGATTTACATCAGAAAATGACGTAAACTTTACGTTAGATTTACGTCAGAAAATGGCGTAAATATAACGTAAAAATGATGTAAAGTTTACGTTAGATTAACGTCATTTACTGACGTAAAATTATCGTTAAAAAGATGAGCAAAATGATGGTAAACTGACTGACCATTTTTACGTAAATGTAACGTAAATTTAACAGCATATTGTTATGTAGGTTAGCAGAAACGATGTCGGCAAAACACAGCCTAATAGTGGTGGGGACATAATATACTGTGTCCCCACCACTTATTTCCGATGTTTTGCTTACTGTTTATTTTTTTTAAATTGAAATCATTCCAGAGCCTTTATTGACATTTCAGAAAGTGTAGAGTTGGTCTCAGGCACTTGAAGCCAGGGTCCTTGAAGTTGTACAGCTGCACCCGGTGACCGATTTTTATTTAACAGGGAATAAGTTATAATTCATATTGTAACAGTAAATAATTAAAATATTCCATAGGGATTATAATAATATGTATATCATGTAGGTGTGCATATCTGATACGCTGGGTATTTTAAGGAATAACTGAGATTTTGTTTTTATCTGGTATACTGGATGATAAATCACCTAACTAAAGATTTAGTTTGTATATCAGGGGAACCCTTCATTGCTAGATTTGCTGCCATAATATTTTTAACGACTGGTTTCTATCTCTCTCTGTGGAATATAGGCAATTAAATCTAAAATTTAAGACTCGAACCCTCTATTTTTTGGAGTACAGTAAGCTGAGCCAAGAATCTTGTACTTATTATTACAAGTAAGTTAAATTTTTTTTTGCTGTTTTGAAGATGGTTTAGAAATTTAGGAAATTTATCGGAAAAGACATTTTTTAAAACCTGTCATGGGCCGTCCAGAAAGAAGCCAAAGGGAAAAGAAACGGACAGAGTCGATATAAGTGTACTGTTCTTTAGCTTTAAATATATTAAACACTTTATCGTAATTTTTTCGATTAAAAAATTATGGAGTACAGTAAGCTGAGCCAAGAATCTTGTACTTATTATTACAAGTAAGTTAATTTTTTTTTTTTTTTTGCTGTTTTGAAGATGGTTTAGAAATTTAGGAAATTTATCGGAAAAGACATTTTTTAAAACCTGTCATGGGCCGTCCAGAAAGAAGCCAAAGGGAAAAGAAACGGACAGAGTCGATATAAGTGTACTGTTCTTTAGCTTTAAATATATTAAACACTTTATCGTAATTTTTTCGATTAAAAAATTATTTTGTTATTGGTAAAAACTCCTCAGACTCGCTGAGAATGCATATTTAGACACCATTTTGTAACAAAAATTCAAACCAGCGGCTGCCAGGCAGGATACGCCCACATTTTCGAGAGATGGATAGAGAACAAGCTTACAAGAAAGTGATTTTTCCTACAATCAAGGGCCATAATTCAGGAAATTACAATTCGATATGCGCATATATCGAAAGGAACTGAGATCTTTGTGTTATAAACTTACATTTCAAGTTTCAACAAAATCGGATAAAAATTGTGACCTCTATAGGGTCCACAACCTTGATATACCATATTTTTACGCTATTTGAGAACGAACGGCGGCCATTTTGTCTGTCAATTTTGGGGCGATTTTCACAAAATTCAAACTCAACTGTCCTTAGGGTGGAACGGTAATATAATAATACGGTTTATTAAATCGGATAAAAATTAAGACCTCTATAGGGTCCACAACCTTGATATACCATATTTTTACGCTATTTGAGAATGAACGGCGGCCATTTTGTCTGTCAATTTTGGGCCGATTTTCATGAAATTCAAACTCAGTCGTCCTTAGGGTGTAACGGTGATATAATAATACGTTTTTTTAAATCGGATAAAAATTATGAACTCTATAGGGTCCACAAGCTAAAAACGCGATTTTTCGTACAATCAGGGGCCATAATACAGGAAATTACGGTCCGATATGCGCGAATATCGAAAGGAACCGAGATTTTTGGGTTATAGACTTACATTTCAAGTTTCAACAAAATCGGATAAAAATTGTGACCTCTATAGGGTCCACAACCTTGATATACCATATTCTTACGCTATTTGGGAACGAATGGCGGCCATTTTGTCTGTCAATTTTGGGCCGATTTTCACGAAATACGATCTCAGTCATCCTTAGGGTGTAACGGTGATATAATAGAACGGTTTTTTTTAAATCGGATAAAAATTATGACTTCTATAGGGTCCACAAGCTAAAAACGTGATTTTTCGTACAATCAGGGGCCATAATTCAGGAAGTTACGGTCCGATATGCACGAATATCAAAAGGAACCGAGATCTTTGGGTTATAAACTTACATTTCAAGTTTCAACAAAATCAGATAAAAATTGTGACCCCTATAGGGTCCACAACCTTGATATACCATATTTTTACGCTATTTGGGAACGAACGGCGGCCATTTTGTCTGTCAATTTTGGGCCGATTTCACGAAATTCGAACTCAGTCATCCTTAGGGTGTAACGGTGATATAATAGAACGGTTTTTTAAATCGGATAAAAAATTATGACTTCTATAGGGTCCACAAGCTAAAAACGTGATTTTTCGTACAATCAGGGGCCATAATGCAGGAAATTACTGTCCGATATGCGCAAATATCGAAAGGAACTGAGATCTTTGGGTTATAAACTTACATTTCAAGTTTCAACAAAATCGGATAAAAATTGTGACCTCTATAGGGTCCACAAGCTAAAAACGTGATTTTTCGTACAAACAGGGGCCATAATCCATGAAGTTTCGATCCGATACATGCCAATATCGAAAGCAGCCGAGATCTTTTGGGGATAAACCTATATTTCAAGTTTCGTCGAAATCGGATAAGAATTGTGACCTTTAGAGAGTCCACAAACAATTGTGGACGGACGGACGGACGGACGGACAGGGGCGACGGCATAATACGTCCACATGAAAATGTGGGCGTATAAAAATTGTAAAAGTCCCCCCCCCCCCCAACCTCTCGCAGCTCACGCCAGCGGCGTTCGGTTATATTTCGTATCATTTGCTGCCAGAAAATGATGTTGAAAATACCCACCTAGTGCATTTTAGAGCGTTTAGTTTTCAAAAAATTTCGGGGGAGGACCCCCCAACCCCACTCTTTACCAATAGTCGCCCGCGCATGAACTCTCCCCACCACTAATTTTTGGCGATCTGCTCCCCTGTAATAGCATATTGTCGCACCCTCTCACCATCCCGTATCCGCCCCTGAGGGGATTAAACTTTTGGGGATGAAATCTTTGAGCCATGACGAGCTATGTCATTTATACAATGTATTTCTGTTAGAAAATAAATATAGTTATTGTATTATTTGGCGTTGCGCGTAAAAACTAAAACTCGATTGTTTACTCATGACTAAAGGCATTTCAACCGCCATTGCACGGGTGTCTATTATATCTAATATTATTGTCGTTGTTGTGAGTGTGGATTTATATATAACTGACTTATATATGACAGTTTACTCGGGTGTTATTTGGCTTTGCGTATAACTCGTTTCGTTACTCATAATTAAAGGAATTCAAACGACAATGGCGTTTAATTTGAAAAAGTGGCTATTATTTCTGATAGGAGTGTCGTTGCTGTCTGTGTGGATTTTAAATATGATTAAATTTCAATGGTGGAGAATGTAAGTATTTAGTACTAAATCAACACCATTTATTAGGTGGATGAAATTGTGATTTGACGACATTAAAATCGACACCGTTTCCTCTTATCATTAGTTAGGGATGTTAAGCCCAGAGGTTACACTGGCTTTTGGTTACAAATGTTCATTAGGTGAATATCTTGACTGAGTTAAATGATTAACATTTCAAGCTAAAGCTAAGCAGAGCTAAGCAATATCATTGATCGATGCTTTGTGACAAGATAACTTTGATTCTATCTCATAGAGCGTGATGGAACTTAGTGTTACCGGTTATTGATAATCAGTTTGATTGTTTGATACTTTTGAAAAAAAAATAAATCTGCGATTAATTAATATGTGTCATCTATTTATTTTTGGATTTCAGCTGGGGGCATCAGCCTTATTTGTCGTCTTGGGTCCCCCTTCACATTGGGTATTCTCTTCTTCTTATCTTTGTCAGTTAGTTAAGACGTTTGTCTTACCAGGAATAACAATGAAATACTTCCTTTTTATACGCCCACATTTTCACGTGGACGTATATTGTCGTCGCCCCTGTCCGCCCGTCTCTCCGTCCACAATTGTTTGTGAACACTCTAGAGGTAACAATTTTTATCCGATTTCAACGAAACTTGAAATATAGGTTTATCACCCTACGATCTCGGTTCCTTTCGATATTGACATGTACCGGACTGTAACCTCATGGATTATGGCCCTTGATTGTACGAAAAATCACGTTTTTAGCTTGTGAACACTGTAGAGGTAACAATTTTTATCCGATTTGGCTTAAACTTGAAATATATGTTTATAACCGACAGATCTCGGTTCCATTCGATATCGGACAATAACTTCCTGAATTATGGCCCCTGATTGTACGAAAAATCACGTTTTTAGCTTGTGGACCCTATAGAGGTCATAATTTTTATCCGATTTCAAAACCCGTTTTAGTGTATCACTGTTACACCCTAAGGATGGCTGAGTTCAAATTTCGTTAAAATCGGACCAAAACTGACTGACAAAATGGCCGCCCCTCGTTCTCAAATAGCGTAATAATATGGTATATCAATGCTGTGGACCCTCTAGAGGTCACCTGATTTTGATGAAACTTGAAAAGTAAGTTTATAACCCAAAGATCTCGGTTCCTTTCTATATTCGTGCATATCAAATTGTAACTTCTTAAATTAAGACCCCTGATTGTACGAAAAATCACGTTTTTAGCTTTTGGACCCTATAGCGGTCACAATTCTTATCCGATTTAAAAAAAAAACGTTACACCCTAAGGATGGTTGAGTTAGAATTTCGTAAAAATCGAACCAAAACTGAAATACAAAATGGCCACGCCTCTTAGTCAAATAGTGTAAAAATATAGTAAATCAATTTTGTGGACCCTCTAGAGGTCACAACTTTCTTTTGATTTTGATAAAACTTGAAATGTAAGTTTATAACCCAAAGATCTTGGTTCCTTTCGATATTCACGCATATCAGATAGTAACTTCCAGCATTATGGCCCCTGATTGTACGAAAAATCGTGTTTTTAGCTTGAGGTCCCTCTAGAGGTCACAATTTTTATCTGATTTAAAAAAAAATGTGTGAATAATCACGGATACCCAAACTTAACTTCCTGGATTATGGCCCCTGATTGTTCGAAAAATGGCATTTTTTGCTTGCGGATTCTCTAGAGGTCACAATTTTTTTCCAATTTTAAAAACCGTTTAAATATTTTATCATTCCACCATAATGAAGGTTGAATTCGAATTTCGGGAAAATCGAAATGAAACTGCCCAACAAAATGGCCGCTTTTTGTACGAAAATTGTATAAAACTATGCAATACGAAGGTTGTCTACCCTCTAGAGGTCACAATTTTTATCCGATTCTGATGAAACTTAAAACATATATTTATATCCCAAAGATCTCAGTTCCTTTTGATATTTGCGCATTTCACACCATAACTTTCTGGATTATTGCCCCTGATTTTAGAAAAAATCCCGTTTGTTTTTAGCCTGTTCTCTATCCATCTCTTGCAAAATGTGGGCGTATCCTGCCTGGCAGCCGCTGGTTACATTTTATATATCATAGCCGGATACATAGATACAAGCATAGTACAATAACAGTAAAGTCATTCTCTCAAAACTCATCCAGCCAGACTCGGGCGAGTTGCTGATAGAACTTGTTACATCTTTTCCTTCCAGAATCACACTGCTGTCTGACCAAAGCTCACAAATATGATAGTTTTGTAGCTTTGAGTTTTGGACCTACAATTATCTAATTGGTCAAATATGGTGTAAATAATTATAGAGATTGCTTAATTAAACGTGCATTATGCAAGAGCTAAATCTGCCTATTTCAGGTCTTTCTTTAGGCCTGAAATGTTATCTAAATTATTAATTAGACATTAATTAACCTATCCAGGCCTTAATCAACTCTAGATGGCAGCGCTAGCCTGCGATCTTTAGTGGATTGTAAGCCGATTTACTGCATAACGTTCCTTCTCTATTAAACGATTAAATGGATAATCGAGACTATGCTGTTCATCGTACTGACTTTAGTAATGATGACCGAGGCTTATGGGAATTTCAGTCGCTTAGTTCTCGGTTCATAGTGGATCAATTTGAATGAAATTTTCACCAAATTGCCTTTACATTATCTAGTTTTTAACTATTATAGTGAGAACTGCCAACTCGTTACCGAATCTCACATAATGTATCTTTAAGTCAAATGAGGCAATAGTAATTTTCCGATCACGTGCTAAACAAGATATTCTCATTCCCACGCAACCAGCTAATGTTTACCAAATTATAACTCTTTTTATATACCAATCTGTCACTCAAGTGAGTGCATTACTAGCTAAAAGAGTAAAAATTCTACAAAAGTCTTACAACAGTTCCAAACAATACACTATCCATTCATCTGTGTTTATATATTCCCAATAAATAACAATTGGTTATCATGCAAGATAGACCCAAATTTTGCACGACAGAGAACAAGCAAAAAAGGCGATTCAATAGCATTCTGACATCTGTAAAATGTCATTATTTGATATTAAAATTTTATTTCTATCACCTATTCAATCCAAAAATTTATTAACACCATAATGATCTCTTCTTTGAGCGGCATTTAGCAATTGACATACGTAATACAAAAACATAATATGGAACACAATTACTATTTTACCAAGTCTTCTGCTCCTGTAAAAGCAGCTACATTGGGGAAAGTAGGCAATCATTAGAGGTTAGACTTAAACAACAGCAACCAAAACCATCTAACCAGACCTCAGCTGTAGAAGACCACATCCATCAAAATCCAAAACACAAGATACTATGGGAAAAAACAAAGAAATTAGCAATCCACCAAAACCACACAAAGAAAAGGAAGATTTTGGAAGCCATCAATATAAAACGCCACAAACCAGAATTAAATAGAGACGACGGCATCTATCTACCACGTGCTTATGATGCAATAATCGCAGGAAATTGAATTATACCATATTATAAATGTGTGAGATACCAATATGTAGTGATCGCTTATATACATAAACAGAACAATAGGACAGCAATTATAATAACTGCTGTCATAAACTCCGAATCACAATAGTACCCGAGTATGCCCTCTGTGTTTATGTGGTTATAAATTATTTTATAATAAGTGAAGTAGAATAAGTGAATATAGTAAGTGTTTTCCTATCTTTTGTTTTCCTCATCTATGAAACAATTAATAAGTGGTTTCCCTGATAATTGTGTGCTATTATATAATTACCTTCTATAGGTTTTGATAAGTTTCCCTCTGATCTGTTACTATAAAGTTTCTCCGAACCATTATTGGCTAATCAGATGTAATTTATTTTGTATGTTATTATAAGATTCCCTTTGACCTGTAACTTTACTATGATAAGTGGTTCCCCAAATGGTCGCATGCCAGTGTGCCCACTTTTCTAATAAAAACAAGTTTCACCCAGGCGAGGAACAATAGAGGGATTAACAAGCGTTAACGAGGGAACAATAGAGAGATTAAAAAGGGATTAATTAGTGTGGTCAGTACTTAGCACATCTCCTGATATGTGAACTACAGCTCACCTGCATTTGCCGAAGAAAACTGGAAGTGACTAAATATTCAGTCTTATGATTGGTGAGATGAACTCCATCTAATCGTTAAATTGATGAATGTGATGAAAACATGATTACACTTGAATATAATATGGATAACGTTCAGCACACATTACACTGTCTGTATAAGGACACACAGAAGTCATTCTATCATATTTCATCATGGCAATCGTTCAAGTAGACTTCCAGTACATCTCCAATTTTCAGGGAGGAGAAAACTTATTCTATGAAGGATATAAATTCCGAGTGCAGAATAGGAAGGCAGAACGAGTATACTGGAGATGTTCTATACGAGGTTGTCCAGCAACCCTGAACACCCCCCTAAGAGAAGGAAGTACCGGCAACTTGAAACCCGACTTCAAACTCTAAAAATTGATCTCCAGAACGGTATAAAGACTTTATGACTAAGTCGACAAGACGATATACAAGCCAAAATGCAAGTCGACAAGACGGTATACAAGCCAAAATGCAAGTCGAAAATAAGAAATTAGGAAAAAAACGAGGGGCGCTATTATCGCTGTGTGTTATTTCTTAATTTCCTATTTTCCAGTTGGTTTTGGCTTGTATAGCGTGTTGTCGCCTCACATTTTGTGGTAACTTCTACTTTTCGACTTTTGTGTTTTGAAGAGGCGAAAAGTCGCTAATAGCGTGGTGTGTTAATTTCCTAATTTCTACTTTTCGAGTTGCAATATGACTAAGTCGAAAGTCGACAAGACGGTATACAAGCCAAAATGCAAGTCGACAAGACGGTATACAAGCCAAAATCCCAGGCGAAAAGTCGCTAATAGCGTGTTGTGTTAATTTCCTAATTTCTACTTTTCGAGTTGCATTTTGGCTTGTATAGCGTGTTGGCGCCTTCCTACTGACATCAATAAATACAAAAATATGACTAAGTCGAAAGTCGA